ATGTATATTAAGTGTGGTGTCCCACAAGGAACTGTCTTAGGTCCGCTGTTATTCAATATATATTTAAATGATATTTTCCAAATTAATTGTGTTGGAAAAATAACTAGTTTTGCAGATGATACTGCAATATTATATGAAGGCACTGACTGGTCTGATCTGAAAAATGTAATTGAAAATGATTTTATCAAAATTATTCGGTGGTTTAACAGTAGAAAATTAAGCATTAACTACTCTAAAACACATTTTCTACCATTTGGATCTTATGCTAGACATCTGCCAAATTACACAAATTTCTCCTTCAATATTAATGATCAAAAAATGCAAATTAATAGAGTGCCCAACATAAAATACCTTGGAGTGGTCTTGGATCCTCACTTACGATGGGACATCCATGTCAATTATATTTTAAAGAAAGTTAGATTTGTATCCTACAAAATTAAATACCTTGGGAATATATTGACATTATATCATGCATTGATTGAGCCTCATCTCACATATGGTATATTAGCATGGGGAGCTGCATGTTCCTCACATATCTATAATTTAGATGTTTTTCAAAAAAGTATTCTAAAAATGATATTTAAAAAACCGAAACTTTATCCCACTGAAAAATTATACGCAGATGTTCGAATGTATGATTAAAGACAGCTTTATTTCCTACACAGTATCACTCACTACCATAAATTTGTAAACACCGACCAAAAAATTAAACATAATCATTATACCAGGTACAAAATTCGTGACACAGTAGTTCCTCAACCGCATAAATCTATAATGCAGAGATCATATCTCTATTTAGTGCCTAAATTTTATGAAATTATACCTAAAGACTTAAAAGATTTACGTTTCGGAAATTGTTTCAAAAGAAATTTAAAAAAGTGGCTACATTCTATATCTAGGACTGAAATTCATAAACTCATAAATACGAACATCAACTAAATACATAATCTACTGTAGCTAATTTTTGTCATTTTTTGTCATTTGCATTCTACAGTTTCAACTTAAATTTATTGGTCCATGTACAGGCGATGCCTTCTATTGGGCCTGTTTTGATTTTATATTTATTTACTCATATTGTTTGTTATCTTTGTACATTGAGTGAATAAATATTATTATTATTATTATTATATTATTAATGTCCTTTTTTATGCATGAAAATAAACATTTTTGAGTAGATTCCGAACTTCTATGTTGTATATTTTAAAACTACCGAGCTATGATAATAATAACCAAGCACGATTTGGCAACGTTGCAATTCAATTACCCCAACGATTTGAATACGTATTGGTGTATTTAGAAGTTTGGTTATAGAAGTCATCATCAGCTTAAAGTGTATTTACCGTAGAAATATGATAAGTTCCCCGCGATAATTTGTAAACTAAACTAAGATTGGTATAAGAAAACTGACATTAGGTTTGACCTAAACCATGACGCTCAAGGTCATTTGAAGTTCAAGTGTAGTTTTTTCAAGTGGGTCCATTATGAAAATGGAAATGGCGAAAAATTTTACGTCCAAATATGAAAGAACACTCTTATCTAGGTCAAGGTCAAACCCAGGTAAGGTGATATAACTTGAAAAGCAGTAGTCGTCTAAGGTAATTACAGAGACATTATTTTCACGATTTTCCCCGGATATCCAATGATGACCTTGGGTCTGACCCTAGCCATGATGACTCTCAAGGTCATGTGATGGCCAAGTCGATTCTTGTAGCTAGGGAACAATCCTGAAAGGACAGTGGAGTAAGTTCTTCTAGAAATTACACAGTTTTCTGAATTTCCAAGAAACCAAGGTTTGACCTTGATCATCATGTCCAAGGTCAAGTTCCAAAAATATCCAAGGACATATTTGAACATGAAATTTTCCCTGTTCTCTATTATCGCGGTGAAAGGTATAGGGTCCCATCAAAATAAGAAGTTGGCCTTAAAATGACCTTGAAGTATGTAACTTCACTTAGGTATGATGAATCTTCGACCTGTGCATATCAAACTAAACTGATATATAGTCAACGCCAAACAAAGTGGCGTGCACGTCATCAAGGTGGGTGTGTTGAAAAATTTACATTGTTGCCAAACTTTTTGTAAAATAATAAAATTTATTATTTACATATCTAGGTTTATAAGCAATATTAACCTCAAATGAGAACAAAAATAATAGTATAATAAAATTATAGATCTGTACTTGCATAATCTTAAGTATGACAATTATTGATCAGATGACACTATGAAACTACCATATTTAATTGATAGCTTAAAGGTACTGAATAAAAATCCAAATGGGGTCCTCCAAATTTTATGCATGGTATTTATTTTACAGAATTCATACAGCATTCTAAAATTAGGTAAGCTACTGGTGTAAGCTTTTTCTGTACAATAAAGTTAGTCGGAGTTTCTTTCTTCAGCGCTGTCTGAATCTGAATCTTCATCACTCTCAAAGTTGATTATTAAAGGTTCGATGTCTGGTCGATCAAAAATTCGTTCTCTTTCATACCATTTAAAAATTTCTTGCTCAGTATGTCGAACACTATTTTTCCACATGTCTGGGGTAACCGTTTGTAGAGCCTCGTTCCACATATCCAAACAGTCTTTTTCACTGTTACCATCTCTACCAATATGTCTGTTATAGTAACCTTTTGCTATGCCCCAAATTAACTCAATAGGGTTAAATAGACAATGGTAAGGAGGCAGACGAAGAACTTTGTGCCCATGTTGTTCCGCCAATTCATCAATCACGTATATTTTAGGTGGTTTGTTTCTAAAAAAGCAGTTATTTTAAGAATAGGAATAAACAAAAGAAATATAAACTGTCGACCAAAATATATATAATTAAGAAGCATTATGTACCGAGCAACAATACTCAATAGCTCTGTTTTAAACATTGTGTTTAAAAATGGTATGTTTTGATTTGTCAACCAGTCTTGGATATTTTTTTTTGACCATGCATTGTTGGGCACTTTGTTCAATATTATGCTGTGATAAGGGGCGTTATCCAGTATAATCATAGATGGACTCTCCAATTTTTCTAATAACTGATGTTGAAACCATTTCAAAAAATTGTCCTGGTTCATCTCTCCATGGTAATCGCTCAATTTTGTTTTCGAAGAAAATATCGCTTCACTACCCTCAATAAACCCATTTTCATTTCCAGCATGTAATATAATGTATCTAAAATATATTAGTTTTAAATTTTATAGTGCAAATTGTGTAAAAGTACATACCTTTTACCATATGTTTTAATAGCTTTCACGCTTTTTTGGTTTCCATTTTGCCAAGAGCGACCTATGGTCCCATTTTGAAATATCCAAGTTTCATCGAGGAAGACAAACTGGTATAAGGCCTCAACCTTGGCTTGATTGTATTGCCTTAGAAATTCCACCCTTTTCAAAGCTATACTTGGTAGTTCCATGAGCCCTCGTCGCGGATTGTCCTTAAGCCACTTAAATCCAAGATCTCTAAGCAACCGCCTTAAAGACGTGGCACTACCATCAAATAATGCCCTATCTCTTAATCGAGACCATAAAGTTTGTATCGTAACTTGTTCTTCTGAAACCATGTGTAATATGACATTATAATTTACTTAACAAATTAATGCAAATTTCTGATAAGTTATTATAATAAGATCTTACTTTTGTGATACATATTATAGATCACTTCTCGAATGGCACTTGTATCCAATGTCGCTGTGTTGGTTACACGTTTAATATAACTCCGCTTTTTCTTGGGCGATTCTAAATTTGCATCACTTTTCACACCCTCGGAAATACGACTAACTGTTCTTAAACTAATTTTTAAAGCAGCAGCAACACGCTACAAAAAATGAAATAAAATTTCACTATTATTAATATACATTACATATAATTATTAGTAACCTACCTCTTGAACAGCATTTAAAGGCAACAAAGGCCTGTTGTTGTCCCTTTCTTGCTCAAAGTAGTGCATTAACGAGGCCACGAGTTCCTTACACCGACTATTTAACTGTTTGGGCATCTTTATATACCAAAATTGCCTTTATCTACTCGTAAAATGAATAATTTTGTTTTGAAACAAACAGTTGTTGATTTACAGTATGCGGGGCCAAAGGATTTATAAAGATTTGAAATGCCACAAATTGATTCAGTGTCAAAATTAATACAAATGTCAGTTCCCAGTTTAAATAAGTTTCAAGGTGACAATGTGTCAACGCTGCGAAATCGGTTTAGAGCGTTTACATGTCGATAAGTGATTCCAGCGTTTGCAAAACATTTTATTTCGCATAATGCGTCTAAATTTATCAGAAAGCAACTTATGTGATATTTTAATAACAATGTTTATATGACTATTAACCATAATAAGAGAGTAATGACCATTTTACAATTTATATATCACATTAATATGAAACTGCAATAGAGCAATTGTTTGTGATAGAAACCTAGGCATTAGGTCGGGGAATTTTTATCGTGATGACGTGCACGCCACTTTGTTTGGCGTTGACTATAGTTGCTTTGCAACATGGAAAATTTTACCCAAACTCGAATCTCCATCTTTACGTACCTGATTTGTTCGGTATATTTCTTGTACATATCCACTTATAAAGGCTGAGCAAAGGGAATCATGTTTTTTTAGCAAAGTTTGGGGCTATGCCTGATTCTCAATTTTTAATCTTGGAAATTTTATCTATGCAACTTTTTGATCTTGAACTACACTAAAAAAAGTTATGTCTCAGATTCTTCGAAAGTTGGCTATAACTCAAATTATCGATACTATACTACCGATATCTCTTTCCGTTGTAAAGCAACTGTCCACCAGTTTATATAAGACAGATCTATCACATTTCCGTTTCAATGGCAGTTGTTAGAAAAATATGTATGACTTATTAAGTCTAGCAGGTGCATACTATCACTGAACTTAGCAGCTTCGTAATAAATAATAGAAGGTCCTTCCACTGACACCAAATACGCTCTCCCTGCAGACATTCGTCAGAAAATTTCTGACAAAAGAGCAACACACGTCAAACGCATGAAAGGCTGATAGCTAATGTCAACAACAGTCATAAAATAACCTTCATTCCATCACGAAAACTCATTGCGATGCAAAAACACTGGAAAAAATGCGGACTCTTGCACAGAGAACAAGACGCAGTAGTTCAACACATAAATTCTGGTATTCTGATCGAATGGCGACGAAAAGCACTCGGATGTATCCTGATGAACACCAAACATCCGTTTTGCAAAGTGTTCTACAGATCGTACACCCAGAGAAGAACGGAGCATATCAGACAGCTAACTCAATACGGAAGAAGAGTGCATCCTTTCAGCATATTCAACGTATATTGGGAGTATCTCATGTCTTGGACGTATATAATTGACTGCTCGACTCGTACCCTGAGGGCGATGTTCAGCTGGGGCGTTCCAGCAACGCAAGCGGAAAATAATTTTTTGGCCTTCCTGGACTGCGTTTTCATCCTTGACATGGTGGTACACTTCAACGTGGGCTATTACGACTACGAAAAAAATAAGACTATGTTAAACTATCGTGACATCGCTTTGCGATATCTAAAATCTGATTTCATCGTAGATTTCCTAGCTTGTTCTTACACTCTGTTCTACCCTGTTGCTTATATGTCCAGGATTATCTTGAGTTTCCACGGGTGGTTAGTGTTTTTTCCCGTTTTCAGGATAATCCGAATAAAAAGAATCTTGGAGGCTTACGAAATTTTCAAGCTGCGTCTATCCTTGTCGACTTTTCAAAGCACGATGTTCAAATCATTGCTTACTCTGTTCATGATTCTCTCTTTCTCATATTGTATGCTGTTCACCGTTGAGGACACTATAGAAAGCTTCTTTTACAATACGATGAGGTATGAAGCCTTCAGTCTCCATAGGATGTACACGGCAACGTTGAAGATACTGTCAGTGTGCGTTTTTGGACATGTAAGTAAATAGATCAACTTTTCTATTCTTGTTTCAACCCTAGGGGAGACTATACTTCAGCGCATATCGCAAATATTTCATTTTGTACTTTGAAATGAAAGATTAGGATGTAACTTTTACGAAAATATCATCATTTCTTTAACCCTATATCTGGTGCTGTAGCCTGTAGGCAACATCATCTTTAAACCTCAATTACAATTAACTGTACATATACAGAAAAACAAAAAAAATTCATACAAAAGTAGGACAGTAAAATAAACAAATAAACATTTAAGGTATACCAGCAACGTCATTTGCTAAAATAATCTTTGAGTTTCCTATGAAAAACTTCAATGTCTGATGCTTTTATATTGTTAGGCATCATATTAAAAAATGTAACGCCATAAAAGTTTGTGCCTACTGTTGGTTTTTTTAGTCAGTATTTATTGAGACAAATGTTGTTTTTATTTCGTGTAGCATGATTAGCACTATGAGTGGAGAAGCTACTAATATTACTTTTACAAGCATCATCTAACCGAATTATATATGTAGACAGAGGGAGCCCAGTTGGCAATCGAAATGGCATCCATGACGTTTCTAGTCTATAGTGTTTGGATGAATGTAGCCGTGATGATCGTGCTTCTGCATATGTGGAAGAAGTTGGGTCGAAGTCGACGTGAGGAGGCGTATTTGGAATTCAAGCAGTACGTGAAACACCAAGGGTTACCGCCTGAGCTGCGGACCAAGTTTTTCCTATTCCTCAGGTACCGCTATTACTATAATCCTTACAAACGACGCCGCACCAATCGTGATGGGTCTCAGTCGATTTGCCTAAAGATTCAGTATGGTGCATTCCTCTCCTCTCAGAACAAACGTTTTCGTGAGACTAAAGCAAATTCTATGACTACCCAACGAACAATTATCACTCCTATTAGAGTTGCAAGAATGATTATACAGTATTCCTTACACAGCATTGGATACTGTAAGAATATTGGCAAAACCCTCTTATAACAGCTATACAAGTGGAATGGGCACACCTAATAGGACACTTCAGTCATTTAAGGGGTTGTATAAGGGCTGCAGGTAACAGTTATACAACAAAAGTGTAAGCCTCTTGCAGCCGCTATAGGACATTTGCGTCACTGCAAGATTCAGTTTTTGTCAACTATACAACTATTCTGTTACGTGATTCTACTTTATTGCAACCAAACTATTTCTGATGTAGTGTATAGACGAAATGAAGAATATATAACTAACAGATTACATTCATCTTGTTTACTTACATATCGGCCATTGTGAATTTCATACACAGGTATATGATAAACTTCTACACTGTGATATAGGGCTATTGAATTACTTGCGCAGCAAATTTTATTGTGATTATCGTGCAAAGTAGTTACGCAATTTCTACGGGCTTTTTATTTGATGCATATTTTGATAATGATCAAAAGTATGTCTAGATTTTTAAGATGGAAAACTGAACTTATCTGCGTTAAATCTTCCACAAATCCTATATTTAGACACAATTACACTAGTGTTTGTCACTTTATATCTGTAATTTCTACCTGAAACATAATTATTTAATATTAAATAGAGGAATAAATGTTTGCCCAATATGGCTGGTGGTTGTGTATTATCATGGCATCGTCCATGTTGTTTTCAGTTTATTAGAATATTTTGGTGTTGCCTGCAGGTGTTATACAACAATTTGACAGATGTCTGAAATGAAATACCGACAGAGTCGAATGATTTACCCAGAATTTGTACCAGATCTATATCTTCTGTTTGAACAGTTGATAAAACCTTTTGAACCAATATAATAATAATAATAATATTTATTTACTCAATGTACAAAGATAAGAAACAATATGAGTAAATAAATATAAAATCAAAACAGGCCCAATAGAAGGCATCGCCTGTACATGGACCAATAATTTACGTTGAAACTGTAGAATGCAAATGACAAAAAAGGACAAAAATTAGCTACAGTAGATTATGTATTTAGTTGATGTTCGTATTTATGAGTTTATGAATTGCAGTCCTAGATATAGAATGTAGCCACTTTTTTAAATTTCTTTTGAAACAATTTCCGAAACGTAAATCTTTTAAGTCTTTAGGTATAATTTCATAAAATTTAGGCGCTAAATAGAGATATGATCGCTGCATTATAGATTTATGCGGTTGAGGAACTACTGTGCCACGAATTTTGTACCTGGTATAATGATTATGTTTAATTTTTTCATCGGTGTTTACAAATTTATGATAGTAAGTGATACTGTGTAAGAAATAAAGCTGTCTTATATCATACATTCGAACATCTGCATATAATTTTTCAGTGGGATAAAGTTTCGGTTTTTTAAATATCATTTTTAGAATACTTTTTTGAAAAACATCTAAATTATAGATATGTGAGGAACATGCAGCTCCCCATGCTAATATACCATATTTGAGATGAGGCTCAATCAGTGCATGGTATAATGTTTGAAGATATTTTTCTGTCAATATATTCCCAAGGTATTTAATTTTGTAGGATACAAATCTAACTTTCTTTAAAATATAATTGACATGGATGTCCCATCGTAAGTGAGGATCCAAGACCACTCCAAGGTATTTTATGTTGGGCACTCTATTAATTTGCATTTTTTGATCATTAATATTGAAGGAGAAATTTGTGTAATTTGGCAGATGTCTAGCATAAGATCCAAATGGTAAAAAATGTGTTTTAGAGTAGTTAATGCTTAATTTTCTATTGTTAAACCACCGAATAATTATGATAAAATCATTTTCAATGACATTTTTCAGATCAGACCAGTCAGTGCCTTCATATAATATTGCAGTATCATCTGCAAAACTAGTTATTTTGCCAACACAATTAATTTGGAAAATATCATTTAAATATATATTGAATAACAGCGGACCTAAGACAGTTCCTTGTGGGACACCACACTTAATATACATTTCTTTACTAAATGATCCTGATATCTGCACAGATTGTGGGCGATTTGACAAATAACTTTCGATCAGTGAGTACGCGTTTCCTCTGAAACCAATTCTCTCCAATGCTTCTAATAATAATTTGTGATGAACTGTGTCGAAAGCTTTCTTTAAATCAACAAAAATGCAGATTGAAGGGATTCTGTTATCAATATTTTGATATATTTGATTTACAATTTTAGTTATTGCGTCCGATGTAGCCTTCCCTTCTGTAAATCCATATTGATTTTCACTTAAAATTTTGAATTTTGTGAGGTATCGAATCATTCTAGTAGATAAAACTTTTTCAAAAACCTTTGCTACACTGGATATTATTGATATTGGTCTATAGTTGTTAACATCTGTTTTTGTTCCTGATTTATGTATCGGTATTATATTACCTTTTTTTAAAATTGAGGGATATATGCCAGATTCAAAGCATTTGTTGATTAGGTAAGTGAGTGGTTCTGTTATGTCCTCGGCTATAATTTTCAAATGCTCGCTTTTAATACCATCGAACCCAGGACTTTTCCGATTTTTTAAGGACATAACAGTGGTGTATACTTCACATTGTTCGACTTTATCCAAAATAAATGAGTTCAAAGTTCTTTTTGGAGGCTGAGTATTTTGTACATTTGCTTGTATCTTACTTGCTAAATTTTCGCCTATGCATGTGTTGTTTGTCTTAAATCATTGGTTATGGCACTTTAACAAAAATATGATAGCAGAAAGTTAGGTTATGGTTAAGTTGTCAACCAACATATTTAGCATATGTACAGCCTTTAACAGTTACTAAACAACAGTTCTATAAGTGCTTCCGTTGGGAGCAAGAAAAGTAGTAATATGCACAGCAAAACAACAAGGCTCGCGTTTGTTTTATAAACGTTACCATGGATGCCACAACACAATCATTTTGACTAACGTGCAAATATGCCGTATAAAATAGTTGTATAAGCGTTTATTCAACAGTTAAAAATTTGTCCTATAAGGTGTTGTATAACTATGCTAAAGAATATTTTAAACACCTTATTTTAGAGCAAATATGTTGCAAAAAGCAAATTTGCATTCCACACAACATTAAGCCAGCATTTTGGTGTTCAGGCAACAACAATAGAGAGCTCTTATGGCTGAACGGTTCTTTTACCAAAAGCTTATAGCACTACTTTGCTAGTTGGGTAGTTTCTGAGAAATATGGGGATATAGATTGCCCGAGTTCTCAGTCCAAATACTCGAAGAATGGTAGTTCTGAAAGATGATATCAGAGATGCTATCAATTCTCTTAAAAAGAGGAACTGAAAAGATATTTATGGAATGAGCACTCTTTTAATAAAGATGATCCAAAATCGAATCATAAAGCATCCCACAAACCGGCGCGAAATATTCGCTTTGGCTGCGAAACTTTCGCGGCGATGAATTCGCGATCAGATTAAAACGCGGCGGTTTACGGACAGGCTCAGACTTGTGCGTTTTTATCGCGGCGTATTTCAGTTCGACTTTGACCGCGTTTTTGACGCCGTTCTTCAAAAATTCGCAATGGCAAAAACGGAATTATTGATAGAAATAGTGAAAAAGTATCCTTGTTTATATGATTTGTCGAACGATGAATACAGGAATGTGAGAAAGAAAGACAAGATTTGGATGGAAATAGGAAAAGAATTAAATACAAATGGTACGTACCTAATATTTTTTATTAACTTGTTAAATAATTTACAGTCTACGCAAATGTGAAAACGAACATTCTATATATTGGGCATAGGCATATCAGAATTAAAATAATTTACGAATTTGTCACGAGTAGAAAATGCTAGCCTTGCTGCCCGCCGAGGATCATTTGCTATATCAGTAAAAGCTCCAAGCACGGGTTCTGGGGGATCTAAGAATTTGAAAATATTTGTCATCGCCACTTTTACTTCGTAAAAAATTGTATAAAACACATGCCGTACGTACAATTAGAATAGTAGTATCTACTTTAGTTTCTAATGGCCTGTAAAATATTCGCCATTTTTGAGACAAAATACCAAACGCATTTTCCACGACCCTTCTAGCTCGACAAAGTCTTACATTGTATTTCTCTTTTCTGACGTCTGTTAAAGTCTGCTTATAAGGAAATGGTCTCATAAGGTATGGTTTTAAAGCAAATGCAATTAAGACGTACGAGCAGATTTCATTTTGCCCAGGGAGAAATCTAGGTGCAGGTACACTCATTAAATTTTGTTCAAATCGTTTTCCCATGTTTGAGGTTTCGAAAATACCCACATCACTATTTTTTCCGAAACCACCAATATCAACACATATAAATTTATAGTCCGGGCCAACAATGGCCATAAGTACTATTGAATATTTATGTAAATAGCACCAGTAATTGGAGCCACTGTTGTTAGGTCTCTTGATTATTACATGTTTACCGTCCACGCTGCCAATGCAATTGGGAAATCCCCATCTATTTTCAAATTCTTCAGCACATTTTTTCCATATATTCTCTGTTGGTTCTGGTAAATATATATGCTCCATATGTCTGCATATCGCTTCACAGACTTCGGTTACGATTGCACTCACTGTTGTAAAGCCAACTCGAAAGCTATGCCCAATGGTATAGAAGGTGTCACCAGTGGCAAGGAATCTATAAAAAAAAATCGTTTTTAGGTGATGAAGTAAAAAACAGGTGGAAGAATATCAGAGACACATTTGCAAAATATATAAAATCTACCAAACCAAAGACCAGCCAAGCAGTGGGCAACATAAAGAAATGGCAATGGGCTGACTACAGGGAATTTTTCCGTCGTCTAATGTG